TGTCAAATAGAGCATGATTAATTACCCTCTATCCCGGCTCCCGCTTTGATAGGAGTGTCTAATGGTCTGCAGGCTTGCGGATCAGGTGGTGACATTCCCATTGGGAGGTGAGAATGCCCGCTGTGGAAGTGCTGTGTGTAGGGAGAGATTAGATCAGCCGTGGCACAGACTGGGAGGGAGAGAGCAGAGGTGATTTCCCTTCTGTATGTCTTTGCTTTTTATTTTAACATTGAGGGAGCGCTTGGGACAGACTTCAACCCAATCAACAAGTAAAACTGGTGCGAAGCAGCCGGGGTGGCTGAATAGGCCAGTGAAGCCAGCCAGGGTTTGTCCTGGGAGAGGAATTCCAGGAACTGGGACAGGGCAGGGTTCAAGGTGATCTGCTCGGATCCTACACTGCTGATTTGCTGCTGAATTGAATTTTATCTGGGAGAGCGGGGGAGATCATTCGTACCACATAATTACTCTGTCTCCTTTCAAAGAACCACGAAGATCTCCTCAAGATATGGTTCAAAATTAGTTTAAATCACTGTGGGCTTCCCCAATCTCCTGTTCCTTTTGGCTGCCTGATACCATTTCTCCTCTGAGCGTATTTAGAGTGGAAGTTCGAAAGAGCAGGTCTTTCCTTACCTGTACAGCTTGTGGCTTAAAAATGACCCCTCTGCGCCTATTTTTCACTCCAGAGCATGCTTTGTTGCACTTTGAATGTTGCTGTGCTGAATACATGCTTGGGATTCTCACCTCCTTTCTTTGTTAGTAAAGAATGGACACTTCTGACAGTAAATTGGCTAGGAAAAAAAATGGGAGGCGATTGAAAAAGTAGCGCTTCAGGCTGGGTATAATTAACTACTCTTTGTCTCTGGCGTGTAGGACAAGTCGCAGCTTAGACTGCTCACTGGTGGGGAACTCCCTGCAGTGGGCACGGCTCAGCAAGGGGAGAGGACAGGGTGGCCCTGCACAAGGGGTCGCCGTCACGGAGGGCTCGCACAGCCAGGCAAACCCCTGCGAAATGAGAGGGGACCGATTTTCTGTGATTCGGTCAAATACAGTCTGAGGGACAGCTTTCCTTCTTTAACGTCAGTCTGTGTCTTCAGATTTAGATTGAAATCTGGCTGAGATAGGATGAAGAACTGGAAAAAAAAAACCCCATGCCGGGCAGCGTGCGTGGATGGGCGAGGAAGGCGTCGCCCGCAGCTTCGTTCCCTTTCAGGACGAGGAAAGGCTGAGGCCCGGCATGGAGCGAGCAGTTGCTGATGGCTCAGCCAGTGCCCCTTCCCCAGACAGCGTCTCGTTGCCGACAGACCTAAACAGGAGTTCAGAGATTATCTGGGGTTTACAGCTTCCTCGGTCCCTGCTTAAATAGCTCTTGAAGGACGAAAATCAAACAGTTGCTCCTTCTGCCTCTCCCGTGCCGGGGACATAGGGGGACATTCAGGCCTATCTGTATAAGCCCTTTAGGCTTCTGTTATGTCTGCCTGGAACAGAGGAGGCTTTTGAAGGGGGTGAAACGGCTTGCTGGAGGGGGTTGCTTATTTGCCTTGAAGGACAGAGATGTTTATAGCCTCAGCCAGGCTTCCTCCAGGGAAACGCTTTATTCCCAAAATCGGAGTTGTGGTTACAGCTGTCTTTCCCTTCAGAAAACCGGGAGCCCGTGGGGAGATTCCTCTTGCTCCTGCCAGAGTTTGCCCGCCCTAGAGTCTGTCTTCCTAGGTCTCTCGTGCTCATCAACTGTGCATCATCCCTTTTCCAGTGGAAACAGACTCCTTGTCCCCCCCTGTTTTGGCTGATTCCTTGCAGGAATGGCCCATAATCGTGTAGCTGGGGTTATACTAAAAGGAAAAAAGTAATTTACCAAACAAACCAGGAGAGGAGCAAGTCGTCTTCCTTGCCCTCGCCTTGAGTTGGGCAAGGCTTCCGGCTCTGTGCAAGCACAGTATGTACAGCACTCCTGAGAGCCGGCAGAATAGAGAGGCTTGAAAGTACAGTAAAACGAGTTCGCCATCAAAAGGCAACAAGTCTTACGCTGTGCCCCCGGCTGCCGACCTTTCCCTCTGGAATTCTCCTCTCTGACCTCCAGATCATTAATCCCGATGCTGCCAGATGACAGTAATCCATCATGGCCCCTGACAAGCCTTGCAGCCGCCTGTGAAAAGATCCGCTCGGCTTCAGCATCCAATCATCCCATGGTACTCGTTTTTCAGCCTTTCCTGTTTGAGTGCTGGGGGGGAGTTCCAATAAAGACTTTTATCGCCTCGCCTTTCCTCCGAGAGGGGCTGGGGGAGGAGGGGGCTGGGAAGAGCAGCCTTTCCCTGCTTCGCAGCCATTCTGCAGTCAGGTCCTAGGGAACGTGCAGAGCCCTGGCTTGCTCTGAAAAGTACAGGGAATGTACCGGGCCCGAGAACCCAAATCGCCCTCTGCTTGCTCTGGGAGATGCCACTTTGAGCGGGCCTGAGAGAAAGCGCAGGAGGAAAATGCATCTCTGTGCTTACGTGGTGGGAAGATGGAAGCAGTTTCGTGCCTGCCGTAAAATTTCTCAGCCTGCGTAAAGAAACTTCACAGGGGAAAACAAAATAGCTGTAGGTTTGAGCTTAGTTTGTAAAGGTACTAATTAAATTCCAGGGTGCTTTGGTCTGTGGGTCCTGTTTAAGAGCAAACCTCGGGAAGGGAGGGTGTCAAAGGGGGAGGAAGGTGAGGTGGGAGGTCGGGTCTGATTGCTCCTTCTACTGCAGCTAGGAGCCAGCTCTCTGGAAACAGGACTTCAGCCTGTATTTTCTGCTGGTGCAGATTATGTTTGTCCTTTTCACAGGAGCGTTTGGATAAGTATAGTTGTGTGCCTTTTCAAATGCAGAGCTGGGAGAATCTAGAGAAGAGTAAGACTGTGTTTAGGATACATGCAGTGTATTAAAAAGTAGATATTTCCTTATACTTCCCTATTAGCGGCTCGTTTGCCCAGGAGCCTTACCCGTGACCCTTCCCTTTCCCTCTCTGTCTGGTCACTGCCCAAGGAGAGCCGGACGAAAGTCCCTTCTGGGCAGGTTAATGCCATTCCCTAAATGGGATTGGGGATGCGTGGGTGGCTTTGAGCAGCACGGGGGGAGAGGCTCTCGGTCCTGCCCTGGCGGAGCGAAGGCTTTGCTGGCAGCGTGGTGCTGCTCGGGATGCACCGGCTTGCCTTGCTGCTGGGGCAGAAACGCTGAACTGATAAAGAAGGGGCATTTTGGGGTGGAAAAAAGCCACCCCTGGCTGCTCTTCGAGCCCTGAGAGAGAACTGTTTCCTGGCTTTTCACGTGGAACGGGCTGGGTGTGACTCTGGTGGCCGTGGCTCATCTGATGAGTGATAACTTCAGGCTGGTAACATGATCGCTCCCAGCCCGCCGTGCGTCTGAAATGACGCCGTTGGTGCGCTCTTCATCCTTGCAATAACACGCCGAGACAAAATGGTGGCTCAGGAAGAACCGAAGCAAGCGAGGCTTGCATTGACCCCGGCTGGGCCTTCGGGAGGGCCCGGCGGCCGGCTGGGTGCGATGGAGCTGCAGCGCGTTTCAGCAGTTTGGAGACGTCTCTATCTCTTCTCCCTGAGAGAACTGTCGTCTCCGAAACGCAGGAAGAGGATCTGATGCAGCTGGTGAAATTACTGCTTTGTGGACTCTGCTGTTGTGGCTAGGGAAGGGGTTGTTTAGACAAGGCGAGGAGAAGAGGATATGATAGATATAAAATGACGGAGCACGCAGACCAAGCCCGATCAGGTTGCTCTTTATCTTTCCTTACAGTTTAAGAGTTAGTAACATGGTGAAATTGAAGGCAGCCCTTTTAAAGCTGAAAAAGTTCACTTGTTCTATCTGACATCTCATTAACCTGTGGGAATTGGTACCGTGAGCTAATGCATAGCAGGCTTCAAAAAGAAAAGAGAGGGGGAGGGAAAAAAATTTACACTTACATGTATAATGAGGACATCTGCGGAGCTGAGCTGAACTCCTTTTCACTAAACTGAGTAAAACCCATTTACAAGGGCCATAAACTGCTCTGCTTCGGGGCACTGACCGCATCGCTGGCTGATGAGCGGTGGCAGAAGTCTCCCCTGCGGGCTGGGTATTCCATAAATGTCCATGACGGCGCTTTGGCAGCCTTTCCTGCAAAGGCTGGTGCTGGCCGTTGTGGGAGGCAGGATACTGACCTCAGATGGACGGCTCTTTGATCCAGGACAGTATTTCCTATGCAAAATAAAAGGTTTGCTACATCAGCATTTTCCTCCCCCCCTCTCTTCTTCCCCTTGCCTAAATCTCATTAGTTTGACCTTTTCAAACCCTGCACGCTTTATCACTTTAAGGTGCTGCTAAAAGGGCACTGTCAGGTTAAAAAATCAGATTTTTCTTGCCTCTGTTAACCCATGAGACGTCAGAACTGAACAGGAAGGATAGAGCTGTTTTCCAAGGGGGGGAGGAGCTAGAGCAGGACCTTGCTTTGGGCTCCAAAAAGTGCTCGGATGCCTGGTGCTTCTCACCGCGGCCGTGAGGATGCCTGGCTCTCGAGCAGTAGAGGAGAGCACATCCTGGGGAGGGAGGGAGCCGATTCCCAGCGTACCAGCAGCTCGAGTTCCCTGGATGCTCCACTCCTTCCTGAGCACAAGCGATACAGATTTTTATCCAAGGTTGCCCTGGGAGCTCATACAAAATGACTCCTCCGTGCTGCTCCCTTGCCCCTAGGACTGAACAGTCCCTACTTTCCCCTCTTCCTATTTTAGAAGTTGCTCTTAGCTGCAGGTTATTATTTGTCTGATAATTGCTTTTGCTTACAGGAAAGGATTTTTCACGAAGAGGACATGCCATATAGCCACGCTTCTCTAGCTCATTTACTCGCCCATCGAGAGGCCTCAAGTCAGGCTACAAATCGAGTTGCCTGAGCTTCCTATTAGAAAGGAGATCGATAGCCCCAACCTGCTGGTTTTCTTGGCCTCCTTTTCTCTCTGATGCCGTGTTTCCTTCCCCACCGTTTCCCTGCAGGAACTCCCATCAATCGGATCCCCATCATGGCAAAGCAGATCCTGGATCTCTACATGCTCTACAAGCTGGTGACCGAGAAAGGAGGGCTGGTGGAAATCATCAACAAGAAGATCTGGCGAGAGATCACCAAAGGCCTTAATCTGCCCACCTCCATCACCAGTGCCGCCTTCACACTTCGAACCCAGTGAGTCTGGGAGGTGTAACAGCGTGGACGTGAACACCGAGCGGGGACTGGGGGAGAAAAACGGCAAAGTCGAATTCTACTTTGTGGCGAGGAGGAGCCGATAAAATGCTTCATTTATCCCCCTCACCCAAAGCTTGCAGTTTTTCCATTCTATTCCTCCTTCTCTCATTTTTCTGAGCAGTGATTCTTCCTGAACTCATTCCCCTTCCACCCCTTCGATCCCAGCGCTAATATGCCATTGCCTTGTTCGCTGTCCCGTGCCTTTCTTGCCTCTTCAGAGCTTAAACTCCTCGGGGCAAGGAGGGTCTTGCTCTGGTTCTGAAGAGCACCTGGCACAGCGGGGAGGGAGGCAGGCCTCCTGGTTTGTAGCGTCAAGTATGAACTTGACCGTTTCATCTCAGTGTTACCGCTACTAAGTTGTGGGAGCTTGTGTTTAGCACCTGCTTACGGCGAGGATCACTTTTCTGACCTGCAATACCTCACTCTGACTAGACAAGCAAAAACAGTAAAAGTAAACCTACTGTAAACATTAAGCAACAGGGCCAAGCTGTGCTTCAGCGATGCGGGCACGGGAGGAAGGAACTGCTCAGTGCTTACCAAACCAAGCACAGCAGTGGTTGTGATACACAAAGACTCCAGATCACCTCGGTCTGAAAGTCTTCCCGAGTGCCACGCTTGTTGCTGCAGCCTGTAATTTCATGTTCTGTTGAGAAACTTGCTTGAGTTTCCCTGTGCTCGCCTCTCTCCTAGGTATATGAAGTACCTTTATGCCTACGAATGTGAGAAGAAATCCCTCAGTTCTCCTGCTGAGCTCCAGGCTGCAATCGATGGCAACAGGCGGGAGGGCAGGCGGCCCAGCTGCTGCTCCTCTCTGTTCAGCTACTCACCCACCGCCACAGGCCCTCCTTCCCTCCTGTCTCCCCCAAAGATCCGCTTCCCCATCATCGGCGTCGCGCCAGGCAGCGGGACCAGCAACCCTCGGGTGTCTCCAGCAGCAGCAGTCAGGAAAGGTCAGCTGCTTTTACCCACAGAAGAGAGGGTGGCTGGGTTCAGAAGTGCAGGCACTGAAACACAAATTATTTTCCTTTTTGTCCACCCAGGCTCGTTGGGATTTGAGAGTAGCAGGACTGGGGTGGCTTAAGGCTTGCAGAACATTCTGCCTGCTGTTTAAAGCTTTGCGTGCTCACTTTAGGAAGGGCCATGGGAGGGACTAAGCGACTCTCTCCTTTTCCAGGTGACGGTGTGCCCTTGACTGTGTCTATGCCAAATCGTATTGCCGTGCCAGTGACCTTGGCTAGTCAGCAGGCAACGGTGGCAGCGAGAACA